TGATGGCTACAGATACATGGAATTTCACCCAACGTGAAGATGCTGCCCGACTAGACGCTTGGAGAAAGATTTGGAGAATCTTTCATAAAAGAAGAATTTATCTTATCCTTATGAAAATGTATGAGTTTTGAACTGTTTTGTCAAATGTATATCTCTATGTATTCCAATGCACACACACGTCAACATTGTGTCAAATCCGTCTTTTGATATATCTTTAATTACATACATTTCAATTGGGATACAGAATTTTTTTATGTGTTGAATAGATACATCGCATGGGATAATTACAAATAAATAGTTCACTACCCGATACCACACCATCAGCAGACAGGCTACAAAGTAAGAAAACCTAAACAGTCAGTCACACGTAGTGTTAATCCAACATTAACTCTCATCCGAACTGCTTGGGATCCGTTTGGACCCCAGGCGTATATTTATATGTCACACGTTATATTATAACATTTTTGATCGGAAGAAAGCTCCTTCCTTCAGCCACGGTCCGATGGATTCTATAAAACCATAGGTTCAGCACCAATGACAGATGCAATGTTCACACTCACGTGTGCGTTTTCGCACTGCACTTGCTGTATGTTCTGCCAGAGGGCGCGCGCGCGTGTGTGTACATCTAAATGTGTTCATACGAGTGTGTGCTCCAATATGGGTGTCACCAAAGGTCCACTGCAGTGACGTAGGGACCCCCCACGAAGCCCATATTTACATTTGACCTTGGTCTTTTAAACGGTAAACTGCCTGCCAAAAATCATGAACGTCGAACCATGCCTTCAAGAGTTATGCCACTAAATCCACAGTCTCCCACACTAATGCAGACTGATTTTATACCCTTCTGACGAAGGCAATAAAAACTGAACAGCTTTCTCAACGGTTAATCAGCAATTATTCTATCAAAAAGAAGGCGAGGTAAAAACAAAATACATTTAAACTTTTGCAACAGTACTACCATATCCTAACTGACTCTGGGCGATCTCGGGGGAAGGGTTAAAGGTATGGGCAAAAAGGCCGGAGAAAACGCCCAGAGGGCCGTGTAGCGAGATTAAAAAAGAGGGTGGGTGGACACACACATACCCGTTTGTTTGTTTGCTTGCGCCTTTATTCATACTCGATAATATATGTCACCCCATTCGGCCATGTCGGCCGCTTTTCGTGGGGGTCGAGTTGGGAGGACAGTCCAGGGGTCAAAATGATAATAATAATAATTATGATGATAATAGTACAAACATTTGTCGAATTAACAAAAACAATAATACAAAGCATAAATAAATAAATGAATACATACATAAACTAGAATTCCGAGATCTCATACCTCCATGAAATATGATCTTGATATGTAAATGTAAATTTCTTCTTTAATTGTGCAAATGACCTCTGCATTAACATAATATATGCATCGTGATGAATGTTAACTTTTGATTAACTTACAGATGTCCCAAGTATGACATTCTCATCATTCACCATTACGAAACCATATAATTTTCGCATTAATTATGCAAATTAGGTCATCATTTGCCTAATTAGTATCTGTTGAAGTTCCGCCTGCCATAGGTTACATACATTACATGTATGTAAGTAGTATAATGTAAAACACTGTAATTATAGAATTTCCTCATTAATTATGCAAATAAAGTCCTCATTTGCATAATTTGCATTTAATTTTGTACATCTCTCTCTCAGCTACCTACACACCAAAAATAATGAAAATATGTTGTTCCTGTCTGGACTTATTGGCTTTTAAACATTTCGCCAGAAAGTGCCCTGCAGTTCCAGAACAAGCAGTTCCCAAACTCATATGACTTCTTCCCAAGCACGAGAGCTACCTTCCATCAAAATTTCATGACCCTAGCATGTCCAGATCGCGAGATATCAAAACCGGAAGTTGCGCTGCAGTACCAAGGGAAGCCACTAGGGGGACAAAAATCTCATCATTTCCAGTTTTTGTCACACCCTACCAACACACCAAGTATGAAACCAATCCATCCAGGCGTTCTTGAGTTATCTTGTTGACCAACAGACAGACGGACGGACAGATAAACACAACTGAAAATATAACCTCCATGACACATTTCATGGAGGTAATAACAATAACAAAACAGGTCATAACGTTATCAGGTCCATAAGGATTCCGTAGAGGTCAGTCACAGAGACAGAAGCCGTTCCCTCATGCACATTCGTCCGCTCGTTTGTCCTGGCCCGTCTCCTGGACTCCGAATGGGAAACTTGTTTTCCGATGCCAGGTGACGGTATCCGGGTGTGTTTGAGGTCCCGTGAGTCTGACGAATGCGCGCCCAACTCAGGAGCGTCCCCTTGACTCAATTAGAATAGGCACCATGCCAAGTATTGCGACAGGCAGGATCGTCACTTTTGTTTACCCGTACGCCTTTGAATGAAATGTATGGATTCCTGGCGGATTCCTCAGTCTGTCTAACCCCACACCAGGTGTAAACATTACACTTAACTATACAGGTATCGGTAAATCTAAGTTTTCGTGCAGTGAACCTGTCAGCGCAGTTCGTTTCCACATCACTTCACTCAAAGAACTGGGTTTTACAAGCCTCTATGTGTACAGGCATTCACAGGTAGCTCAAATAAATTCTTGCCATGTTTGTCGATCATCTCGCGATGGTCATTGGCTTCCCGCTGTATCCAAGGTTACCATGCGGCAGCTGAGACACCCGATACCCCCTTAAGCCTCTTACAGACACAACAAGCTTAAGGTGCGCAAAGATGGCTGTACTTGGACGTTCACTTCGTCGCTTCACCACCTTGGTTCTTTTTCTCTGCCTTTTCACGGGCAGGTAGGTTGTGAAAACACGTAAAAGGGGCTTGTTTATAGTTTAATATTCAAATTCAACAAGTATATATGTTAGGTTTCCTAAAATGTGAATTTCGGGCGGTAGAAAAGTAGTTTCATTTTCAAGTTATGAACTGCGTCACAACAAGGAAGTTGTGTTGTTTTTTGAATGATTTCAATAGCGTGTGTTTCGAACAGAAAGAATTATCACTTATTGGGTCTTTTCTTATGCCTTTCTTAAAGTACATCCTGGAGGAGGAGGCGCGGGGGGTGTACCTGTTCTTGGAACAGTTGGGGGCCGTGGAGCTCGTGTTCCGAGCCATGTGGAAATGCAGGTAAATCGGCGAGATTTGTATCTCACAATATTTTCATGGGAGCCTTTTTTTACGGGAATCGAACTCCTACAAAAATAAGGAACCCCACGGCGTGACGTTTTCAAATCAAGCTAGAATTGTACTGTCTAACTTTCGTCAAGGACATTTATTAGATTCTTTATTGGCACAACAAAAGTACAGCGACTTTCGTAAGGTCTTAAACTACACTTACAAGTATTTAAAGTAATGCTATCGTCTTTTGCTTAAGGCCATGTTGATTTGATTATATGGATGACATCCTCTGGGAACCCCAAAACTGATGCGCGCGTGCGAATAAAAAAAATTTTGACAAAAAAAAAGTTGCTTTCACTATGAAATCTACGTGGTCATGAAGGTTGAACAAATGGTACAGAATATGTTATGGCGAATAATCTACTCTTCGAATTCATTTCATTACAATTTTGTCTTTTTTTCCTTTGATTGTGGCATTCTACGACATTGGTATCGTTTCTAAATGTTTTCCTTGCAGGTTTACAGTATTTTTGGAAACGGCCGAAAATTCATGCGCGCGCGGATGTCATCCATATAATCAAATCAACATGGCCTAAATTTAAATCAGTCAATGTAAGGACATTTTCTCTATGTAATGTCCTTGGTCAATGTTTTCCAAGTTTCACAATTTTCATCTCAAAAGCTGAAGTGATGTTTATACGTACATTAATTATTTGAAATGCAATGTTTATGTTTTAAGGCACGAGGACCCGGACCCGCGGCGGCTCGTGCTGTGGTACTGCCGGTACAGAGACGGCGGTCTGTAACCGGTTCTGCTACAACAGCGGGACTCCGTACGGTAGCGGCTGCCTCTGTACCTCTCAGTACCAGGGACGGTGCTGTGATATCGACAAACCGGGAAGCGGATCCGGAGGTGAATCTATGCCCGTGTTTATGTGAAGTCACCCAAACCGCGATTCGGGTAACTCACATTCCTCACATTGGTCCACGTGCCACACATTCCTTTGAAAACGTGCCCGATCACGATTCTCCGAAACTACATTCATTGTTGTTTGATGAAAACACGCTAGGTAGCGTGTTATTATTGTCAGTCGTCAACGACCTACTTGCTGTTGCCCCCCTTCCAACGTATCTCGGCCGAATGCCGACGTTGTCCCGCCAGAGGCGGTGAAGCTCGTCCTAGAACGGACACATTATTTGACCATCACTGCTCTTTAAGTTGCTGACACGTAAAGTGTGGTATTGCATATAAATAAAGAAATATCACCCCGTAATCTATGACCAAGTGAAGTTACATTGAAATCACATTGCGTTCAGACGCAAATCGCGATGCGGGAAAACCGATTCGAAACCACCTCTAGAAGTGGCTTGGGATCGAGGCGTTTTTAATGTGATTTGGAGCGTTCAGATGGCGCCACTTGAAACCGGCTTCGGGGTAAACCACATGTAAAGCGCCTTGGGTGACTTCACATGAACACGGCCTTAACTGTCCCCTACATATTCTACAAACCTTGTAAACCGTTTGAGACGTAACCATCGTCTGGGAACTTAATTAGACTATGACTCACAGCACGTCTATTTTTTCCTGGAACTACCTAGTACCTGACCAAGCTAAGATATTTGGTTTCGTTGTTCACAATGGTTCTGGACTAGTCATTAGACTTTTTGTGGATTTTTCGAACAAAATACTTCATTCTTTTCACAGGTGGCTCTTCTACCATCCAGCAGGGGGGTACAACTGTGTCAGCCTGGGTGTATGTTGGTGGTGGGGGCAGTGGTTTCCTGATCTTCATCATCATCGTGTACGTTTGCTGCAAGAGCTGTGGCTAGGCTCTAGGGAATATCGGAATTCCGAAAAATGTTCCATATATAATTCTATCGGATAAATCACACATAAGGCTCATCTCACAAACTGTATGGAGTGATTTGTTACAAACCGTGGTAATCGGACCCGTCTAGTAGACAGTAGACTATGTAACGTTTAGAAAGAAAAATGAAATGTCCCAAAGCTTATCTCTGTGTCATGTACATTTATGACATATATGCTACACAGACACACACACACACACACACACACACACAAATACAAACACACACACAACACACAGTCACACACACACACACACACACACACACACACACGGCGCGCGCGCGCGCGCGCGCGCGCGCACACACAGAAATCTCCCTGTTCCTGCGATTTGTGCATTTTCTCGGTCCTGTAACCCATTACTGTACTTAATAGCTGTGTTAAAGTACCATAAATGTAAATAAACAATTGAAAACTAGCCCTTGCCACTGAAACTTTGTCATGACCTTTAGAGACACAGACTAGCTGGCAGCTAATATTCATGAGTGACCTATTTCAAGGACGATAAGAAAAAAAAGTTCAACAATCTTTCAATCGGTCCCAAAGTCCACACATCCACATAGCAATGTCAAACTCTTGAACAAAATCGCGTCCTCTAATTGGCCAAGTTTTGATAGACAGGATTTCTGAACGCGCCGTCTAGAAAAATCTGGATTTGTACAAGATGGCTGTGCTAGGGAGCCCACTTCGTCGCCTCACCCTGGTGATTCTCCTGTTCTGCCTCTTCATGGGCAGGTGGGTTAGCAATAGCCTCCATAGCATGCCATAAACTTGGGGTTTGCATGAAAACTTAGATTTACCGACATTAGTATAGTCAGGTAATGTTTACTTTGTTCTTTAATAAACACTTCTGAACTTTACAATGGTAGTAAGTACTGTAATACCGGACTTAAGAAAGAGTTATAAAGGAAATCACTGCACTTGATCGTTATTTACTACCATTGTAAAGCCAGATACTGTGTACATAGTAAACATTACCTGAGAATTGGGAGCTTTTATGTGCTATTTTCTGATTGTATATAGACAACATAGCCGGCCTGGTTGAAAGAACTGGACTAATCAGAAAACAGCCGAAGACCACTAGACCCCCAGTACTATAAGCCTGCTACAGAGGCTAGTTAGCAATGATTTTCTATAACATTCCTTTCCAAAATTTCCGGGCTTTTGGATCTATTTGTGTGAATTTTGGACAGAATCAAGAACTTTTGTCTCTCTGCCTGAGCCCCAGGCTAATCCTGTTGCTAACTCGTGAAATCCAGTTACAAAGTTACAAAGCCCAAAGACACTTTTTTTTATATCAAAATGTTTTTGTTTTGTTTTGTTTTCCTGAACTTAAGTACATCTTGGAGGAGGCGGCGTTCTGGAGGGTGTGTTTGTCAGCTTGGCGTTTGGGGATCATGGAGCACTTGTTCTGCGCCGTGTGGAAACAGTGGTAACAAACAACTTCAGAAATGTTGTACTATATGTACGGGTAAACACTCTGTATGTGTCAAACTGCAATGTACAAATCATCATCATCGTGGCTATGACTATGGTGTTCAGCAGGAATACCCTGTAGGGAGTTGTTGGGATAGGTCGGAACATGGCGTCTAAGCAGGATAGCATACCGGTCATATACATATGTAACAGGATAACTTACCAGTCACTTAGATCAGTGATATCCTTAAGGTTATCTTAGTATCATGGCTAAAGTGCGAAAGTAGACACGTTTCAAACTTCGCGAAATCATCATGCAAACGATAAGTATAGGTATCGCTATTCATCCGAGCTGAACATTAAATTTGTTTCACATTTTCAACACTTTATTTTCTATTTTTGTCCTGTTGCCAGGCGAAAAGACCCGTTATCGCACTAACTACTGTTGTAACGGTATCGAGGGCGCGTCATCACAGTCGCAGTCATCCTCATGTAACCGGTTCTGCTACAACAGCGGGACTCCGGTCGGCAACGGCTGCTTCTGTACCTCACAGTACGAGGGGCGATGCTGCAGTCTCCACAGACCATCAGGTAACAGAATTGTTTTGATTATCCCTTTAACCCTAAACAGTACACCTGGGGTCCGCGCGGACCCCAGCACTATATATTCTGTAATATCTTTTTTGTTTCTAAAGATTTTTTTCTGAAATTTTAGGTAATTGTCACCCACAAAGTTATCTCTCAATACAGTGCAGAAAACTCCGTTTCTACCATTTATAAAAAAATTAAATCTGATTTTCTTTTGGGGTCCGCGCGGACCCCAGCCGGCTTTCGATCATAATGGATACACTGGCGTCCTTATACATTACCTTATTTCCGTTTTTATATGTTTTTATGCACTCATCGTATGTCTACCAAGTTTTCAGAGAATGGTTTAATAATAGAATTAAATTTTAATAACTTTGGTGTAATTATGACGTCATATGACGCCAGAGCTAATAATATAGTCCGCCATATTGGATTTTGACCAATGACGTCATCAAATTAGCATATTCTATGCATATTAAATGATTTAACTTATATTTAATTATGTAAGATGTTATTAATGTTGGAAAAGAAGTGTAATTTAATATAAAACTCAGAAAATTTTTATGTTTAAACCAAAATTACTTCTATTTTCAAAAAAAACTGCCTGCTAGAAACCCGTTGCCATGGCAACACAAAAAAACATCAACTTACTAGTATTAAACTAATATGAACTCTTTTCCAGAGACATTTTAGGAAAGGTCTCCAAATTTGATACTTCTAGCGCAAGCCGTTTAGCCGCTATCTGAGATCAAAGTTGGGCCTCAAAAGCCCCTTCAGTTTGAAATGGGTTGAAAAATCGGGTATTTCTTCTTGTCTTTTTTTCTTCACCAAAAAAATGGAAAAAGCTCAAAATGTATGGTTTTTGCATGTAATGTGGACACAGAGGTTCCCACATCAGTTTGCAAAACAATTGAGCTGGTAGCATGTTGCTAATTTCTAAAAATTAGCAAAAAACTGTTCTGGGGTCCGCGCGGACCCCAGGTGTACAGATTAATCAGTCCGGGAAGGTGTACTGTTGAGGGATAAACAGTTAGTGAACGAAAACAACTCATTACACGACTTTTATTTCATGCACCGACCTTTTGAAAATGACCGTCCTTGGCAATCTTGTCCTTGGCAGCTTGAAAATGTTTGAGTCAAAGTCAAAAACATTTCTAGGAACCGAATTAACGTACGTGACTTTACGCTAAGCTTGTTTATGGCACTTGTAGAAAATTCCATCGTCTCTGTGGCACCTGCGGCTGTGGAATAAATGCACAGGATTTAATTGATTGTCATCGCTGCAGTGATCACGTCGCTTTATGGAGTAGAGCAAACTATTTGGAGGAAGCAATTTATTTCCACCGTTGTTTATTTATTCCGGGGACAGAAGTATTGTTTCGGGCAGCTGAGCTGTGTGTCTGTGTGACCGTTTATCCGGACAGCGTAGGTTAACAGCACCGACACGTAGAATGACAGTCAAAAGGTCAGACATAGGAAATGGGGGTAAACTCGAAGATGACGACAAGCCAGAATACTTCCCACATTTTCTACCGAACTATACATAGTAAAAAGGTTCCCCTATCCAAAAAATTGATTAGCCGATGGCCAGTGTATATGCATTCTATTTGACAGCACGTTAAGATTTTGGACTAAATCTCCCTTTTTTTTGCAGGCCTTAACATCTATCAGCAAGGAATCTCCAACAACGTCAACGTTAACCAGCAAAGCGGCTCCAACAACGTTAACCAACAAGGAAACAACGTCCACCAGAGCACAAGTCTGTCCACAAGCACGCAACTCGGCATCGGCCTCGGTGTCTCTTTCTCAGTTATATTTGTGATAATCATAATCGTCCTCATCCCTCTTTGCTGCTGTAAGTGATGTGGCTATAGACATCAGCTCAAAAACAAAAGAACAAGGAGAAGTCGTAGACATCATCCCTCCATGAAATAGCTTGTTATTTTGTAATCTTTTGGTGTATTTCAATAGAGATATTATGAGTCAAACTGTTATAGAGTTTGCGAATATACTACTGGGGATGGTACCCAGGCTACATTTGCCTGTACATGTAGGTCAATGACCAGACAAATGACCTGCAGACCAGACAAACAAGATTTATTTTCCTGCAGACTCTATAGGGGTAAAAATAGATAGGGCTGCCTGGGTCTGACCTACCAGCTGGAGGTATATTAAAACAAAAACACTCTGTCCCAACTTTTGGGTCAAACAGACCATCCTATTATGAAGTAGGGGTGAAAAAGTGAAAATCCTTTTAAATCAAGCAATAAAAATATGCGACAACCTGCTAATGCACTCCAAAACACAAAGAGACTCAACAACTACCCACATACCAAAAATCATACCAAACCATCCCCTAGATTTTCCAAACATTCAACACAAAAAGTCCAACATTAAACATTTTGTAAATATCAAACGCAAACAG